CTCTTTGAGATGGAATCTTGCTCTGTTGCCAGGCTGGAGTGCAGTGGCACAGTCTCGGCTGACTGCAACCTCCACCTCCCAGGTTCAAGTAGTTCTTCCACCTCAGCCTCCCAAGTAGCTGGGACTACAGGCGTGTGCCAAATGCCTGGCTAATTTTTGTATTTTTAGTAGAAATGGGGTTTCACCATGTTGGTCAGGATGGTCTCAATCTCTTGACCTCATGATCCACCTGCCTTGGCCTCCCAAAGTGCTGGGATTACAGGCGTGAGAAAGTTGGCTAAAGCTTTAGCAGACAAATGCCTAGGAAAGCTTCACCAGAGAGTCCTTCTCCACCACAACAGTGCTCCTGCTCATTCCTATCATCAGACAAGGGCAATTTTGCAAGTCTTTTTTTGTTTTTGAGACAGAGTTTCACTCTTGTTGCCCAAGCTGGAGTGCAATGGTGTGATCTTGACTCACTGAAACCTCTGCCTCCCGGGTTCAAGTGATTCTCCTGCCTCAGCCTCCTGAGTAGCTGGGATTACAGGCATGCACCACCATGCCCTGCTAATTTTGTATTTTTAGTAGAGACAGGGTTTCTCCATGTTGGCCAGGCTAGTCTCAAACTCCTGACCTCAGGTGATCCACCCACCTCGGCCTCCCAAAGTGCTGGGATCACAGGACATGAGCCACTGCACCCGGCCTTGCAAGTGTTTCTATTGGGAATCATTAGGCATCCACCTTACAGTTCTGATTTGGCTCCTTCTATTTTGTTTGTTTGTTTGTTTGTTTTCTAATCTTAAAAAAATCTTTAAAGGGCACCCATTTTTTTCTTCCACTAATAATGTAAAAAATGTTGCATTGTCACAGTTGAATTCCCAGGAACCTCAGTTCTTTAGGGATGAACTAAACAGCTGGCATCATCACTTATAAAAGTGGCTTGTACTTGATGGAGCTTCTGTTAAGAAATAAACTTTGTATTTTTTGTTTTCGTCTTTCAATTGCACTTTTTCCATGAACCTTTTGAAGTCCCCTCATACTACTCTGCTTATTGTATGAATTGTTTCAGTTTTGGCCATTGGTAGCTTTTTCATCTTGGCTGCTGTGTCTCTTTGACATGCACCCATCCTCTGTTCTGGTTTCTGTTTGTTCATTGTTTTGTTTTGTTTCGTTTTTTCCTTTGAGATAGAGTCTTGCTCTGTCTCCCGGGTTGGAGTGTAGTAGTGTGATCTTGGCTCACTGCAACCTCCACCTCCTAGATTCAAGCAATTATCCTGCCTCAGCCTCCCAAGTAACTGAGATTGCAGGCACCCATCACCACACCCAGCTAATTTTTGTATTTTTAGTAGAGATGAGGTTTTGCCATGTTGGCCAAGCTGGTCTTGAACTTCTGACCTCAGGTGATCCACCTGCCTCAGCCCCCCAAAGTGCTGGGATTACAGATGTAAGCCACGACACTCGGTCTATTGGTTTTTATAGTGCTTCCTTACTTTCTTAGGCTACAAGATGCACCAGGCTCACCTTATGCTTTCCCTGCCTCAGGTCTAGAATCAGCCATTTATTCAAGGAGCCCAAACCAGTAATTTTTTTTTTTTTTTAGTTTCCAATAACACTTATTAAACGTCAACTTTGTGCTAGCAATTGCACAAGATATCCCCGTGCTGTCTCATTTTAGCTTAACAACAATTCAGGGACATTATTGCCGGGAGTGTGGCTGAGTGACTCCTCGCGCAGGGGGCGAGCGAGGGGGCGGTGCGGCGATGGCGGCTGCCTGGGTGGGCCCTTGTTCCCATCACTTGGGGGATGCGGAGGGTACTGGGGACAGCAGCAGGACCGCGGACAATCGCACGCCTTCCGGACGCCCCCAGCCCCGCGAGGCGCCCAACATTGCCCCCGGCCCCTCGCTCTCTGGGGCGCGCGCAGGCACCCCCAAACTACGCTGAAGCCCAAACTTCCTGGGGGTAGCTGCTTGCACCCCGGGCTCGTGGAACAAGGGGCTGTAAGGGAAGCTTTATCATTTACTCCTTACATAAAAGTAAAAGGAAAAGGCGCAGCAGCTTCCCAGTAGGACGCTGTCACCCCCCTGTGCTGCGCGCGGTGCTGGAGGCGCTGCAGGCAGGGGAGCAGCGCCGGGGCACGTCGGTGGCAGCCATCAAGCTCTACATCCTGAAAAAGTACCCAACGATGGATGTCCTTCGCTTCAAGTACCTGCTGAAGCAGGCGCTGGCCACTGGCACGCGCCGTGGCCTCCTTGCCAGGCCCTTGAACTCCAAAGCCAGGGGGGCCACTGGCAGCTTCAAATTAGTTACCAAGCACAAGAGGAAAATCAAGCCCAGGAAGATGGCCCCCCCAAGGCCCCCAGGAGAGCGAGTGAGGCCAAGGAGAAGGTCCCCAAGAAACCAGATGAGGCCAAGGAGGAGCTTCCCAAGGCAGACAAGGTGAAAAAGGCAGCCAAGAGGCCAGCAGAGGTGCAGAAGTTTCCTCTCAAGCCAGGTGCAGCCACAGAAAAAGCTGGCAAGCAAGGCAGCAAGGCCAAGGACACCAAGGCACAGCCAGGCGAGGCTCAGAAGCTGCACCCCAAGCCAGACAAGGCCATGCAGGCCCCTTCTAGTGCCAGTGGGTTCAGCAGGAAGACAGAGGCCAAAGGCAGCAGGAGGATCCAAGGAGATGCTGAGGCCTGCAGGAAAACCAAAGCCGGGAGTAAGAGTTCAAGACCCACGGTGAGCAAGGTCAAGAATGGTGCTGCTTCCCCAACCAAAAAGAAGTTGGTAGCCAAGGCCAAGGCCCAGGCCCCGGCCCCTAGAGGGGCAGCTGCCCCCGTGGCTGGGCAGGGGCGGAATGCCAAGGGTGCTTCTGCTAAGGCCAGNAACATCAACTTTGTGCCAGCAATTGCACAAGATATCCTCATACTGTCTCATTTTAGCTTAACAACAATTCAGGGACATTATTCTTCCTGTTTTATAGCTAATGAAATAAGGTTCAAGAAGATGGAGAGCTTCGTTCCTTATTGCCACTTAGTTGCAAAGTCTAAATCTGAATTCACAGCTATTGACTTGAAGTCTAGGACTCTCCGAGGAACCACAGAGAACTGTTCAGATGCAACATGGGAGCCCCAAACTGCATGTGTGCCAGCTTCTTACTCGAGTTTGCATCCTGTTGCATCCTGATGGCATCATCGTGGCCTGGGGATCTATGAGGAATCTCTGAGCATTTTCAAAACAAACATTTCCCCCTGAATTCCTCCCTGAGCCTCACCTCACCTCTCCCATGCTCACAGTGTTGAACCCTCCTCTGTACTGGTCCATGTCCTCCTAGAGCAGAGACCCCGCCACATCCAGGTGGAGTCCTCTCAACCTGTGACTGAGAGGCTTGTTACGCTGGGACCCACAGCTTTATGAAAAGAATCTGCAATTGTGTGTGTAACTGAGACAGCTCCATTCTTAAACACATACACATACGCACACACATATTCATATATAAGTAAATAAACTCATACATGTACACCTATATATAAACATCCATGCTCAACTCCGTAGGAATTTTAGCAAGGACCAAGAGAACATATTACTTCAAAGAGGAGTCTACCTTTGGGCTTTTTCTTAGGGGAGATGGAGCCATCCTAACTCGACCCCAGGCTAGCTAGAACTGGCCTTCTGCTGCCTCTTGACCAGTTTTAAGTCTTGACACCAGGCAAGTGTGGGCTGCTTCTCCCTGTTAATAACCTGTAGAGATCCCCCATTAACTGGAGCATTGGCCTGAGAAAAGCATGACTTAGAAGGTGCTAGTGAGATTCCCCCAGGCTGGGTAGGGCCTCTATCACTCAGATCAAAATATACATCCAGACTTCAGATGCCTGAGGCTCCCATTCATTGACCGCTCCATATGCAGAAGAGACACAGACTGAGATGAGGACTCCCTTAGGAGAGAGAAGCAACCTGACCCCATGTGAGTTTTATAAGTTTATTGGTAAGACACAGGAGCAGGGAGGTGAGGCCCAAACAAGGACAAGTACTCACAGATGAGGAGCACAAATCCCTTGATTGATAAGATTGGCCTCAAAGAATACTCCCAGCTATGTAATATGCAGTGGATATGCAAGATACAACCTCCCACCAGCCTGAGCCGGTGCTGCTCTAACACGAGACAGTTCTTGCAAGTCTCTCAGTAGATCTGAAACCTTGTGTACCCAGGGAGCAAATGGCCAAATAGTTACTGAGACAAGGTATGAAAGAGCAGCACAGGAAGACTGGGGTTTTATCCTTGAGAGACAGCCTTCCTCTGCATGGGGACATGCAGGCAGAGAAAAGGCCAAGTCTTCATCCAGAAGGGGAGGCTGAGTGAAGAGGTCTCTTTGGATGGAGGCAGAAGGATAGGCTCCAGCTCTCGAATCCTGATTCAGCATTAACAAAGACTGAGGCAGAGAGGTCAAGGAGAAGCGAGAGAGGTCCATGGCGAAGCAAAGGAAGAAGGAGATGAGGACAAATGAGACAGAGGAATTTCCTAGAGAAGGAGTCTGGAGTAGTCTGCCGGAGTAAGGCAGACTACTGGGAAATGGGCTTTCACTTTTATCTCATGGTTTACTTGGTGGGTGAGCTGAGAGCTAAGGTCTTTCCCTGGGAGTCCTTGAATTCACTTGCACTCCCCAACCTGGTCCTGGCTTCCCCACGGGGGCTGCAGTTCCCACTGCCAGTAACACAGCCCCTAGGCATCATGCTGTAGCCTCCGCTGACAGAGCTGGGCCAGTAGCCGTAGGTGCCAGCATTGCTGAATCCAAAGCCAGCCCCTGTGCCTGCTGCCCCAGCCATGGAGCTGTTGAGGACCGAAATGCACACAGAGTTGGTGTATTCTCCAGACATCCTGCACTCCTCGCCCTCCAGCAGCTTGCGGTAGGTGGCGATCTCGATGTCCAGGACCAGCTTCATGCTCAAAAGCTCCTGGTAGTCGCGCAGCATCCATGCCAGCTCCTCCTTGGCCTGCTGCAGGGCGCCCTCCAGCTCATCCAGCTTGGCTCTAGCATCTTTGAAGACGCAGTCCCCCTGCTGCTCGGTGTCGGCGATGGCCGTCTCCAGGTTGGCGCGCTGCTTCTTCACACTCTCAATCTCCGCGTGCAACCTCTGGATTAGACGGGTCAGCTCTGAGATCTCATTTTTGGTGTGTTTCAGGTCATCCCCGTGCCTGTTAGCCGTCAGCAGCAGCTCCTGAAACTTGGTCTGGTACAGGGTCTCGGCCACGGCCTTGCTCTTTCGGGCGACCTCCTTGTACTGGGCACGGACCTCAGCAATGATGCTGTCCAGGTCCAGGTTCCAGTTGTTGTCCATGGACAGGATGATGGATGTGTCACTGATGTGGGACTGGATCTGAGCGATCTCCCCCTTGTACAGGCACTTGAAAAACTTGATTTCTCCTTCCAGAGCATCCACCTTGGCCTATAGCTCCACTTTGCTCATGTATGCCACATCCACGTCTTTCTTAAGCACCACAAATTCATTCTCGGCAGTTCTTGCAGTTGTTCAGGTCCAGCTGCTGCAGCAGCTCCCACTTGGTCTCCAGCACCTGGTTCTGCTGCTCCAGGAACCGCACCTCAAGTCTGCTTCGTAATTCTTCATTCAGTCTCCCGCTGGGAATCGCATCACCTCCTGCATAGAGTAACAAGGGCAGCCCTTCTCCCCAGACCAGTAATTTTTGACCAGCAACACAATAAAGGTGAAGTTCAGAGCAGCTAAAAGATGACCTGTTTGAAAATAGGCTCAGCATACAAAAATTAGCTGGGCATGGTGGTGGGTGCCCGTAACCCCAGCTACTCGGAAGGCTGAGGCAGGAGAATCACTTGAACTCCGGAGGTGGAGGTTGCAGTGAGCCTAGATTGCGCCACCGCACTCCAGCCTGAAATGTACCAAGGCTCATACATGCAGAATTGGTATAGATGACCAGTGATGTTAGTAGTCAGAGTTCACCAATTAGATAAAACCAGCTTTCAAATTTGTGTGGCAAAACAGTGTCACCTGCTGAAGGTCCACAGAATGCTTGGCTTCTGCCCTGAAGCACGAGGAGACAAAATAATATGGGCAGGGCAATGACTATCTCTAGAAGGTCGCAATGACTATCTCTAGATGGTCGCAATAACTAGCAATGACGGGAAGGACTTCTTCAGCTCATCGGAGACATTACTGGGCTCTCTTGGAAGGCTTCTGGTAGGCCCAGCCTTGGAGTATGTAAGTTAGAGGGAGGTGATTTCATGAAAGTTGGAAATATCTCCAATTGCATGGGGCACTCCCTGCTCCCTCTGGGGAGAGCAGCATCTGGGGAACTGCGCTGGAAAGAGGGAGGAACCTCCACTTCAACAGTCACTGAGCTAAAGTCAGACTTTTCTCCTCAAGTTGTTGTAATTGGTTCATGAAGAGCTGGCCCCTAATGGTTAATTAGTACTAGAGGAAATTCCCTTCTGTAGGGAAGAAGGTGGTGGCGCCTCCTGGGAGTCCTCCCTACAGGAAAGGAGGCTCCTGGCACAGGTCTGGTCTCTATTAACTCAGGCCCTGGAGAGCAAATCAGCAGACAAAAAGCTGGTTTTCTGGCTGACCCCAGAGGGGCTCTGCCAGCCTGGCACTGTGTCTGCTTCTGGGGGCGAGGGCACTAGAGGCCCCACGTAATGCTGAGCTCTAACTTGGGACCAGTTCATGTCCTGTGAGGAGGCTGCACGTGAACCACAGCCATGGCTGATTCTACCTGAGCCCTTTCCTTACTACCCCTACATTGTCTCTGTGTGGTTGGCCCGTGGGAAGTGATGCCAGTGAAGCTGTGGTGGGTGGTGGTCCCCGCCCCTGAGGCTCAGGTGGCATTATCCTACATAACCTCTCACACCATGGCTGGGCCAGCAAAGATGGAGGCCTTTCCTCCTTCTGCTCACACCATGCTGCTGAACTTCCACGGGTTTCTTTTTCCCTTTCAGGCAGGCCTTTCTGTATGGCGAGCAGTGATTTCTCCCTGAGATGAACTGGGGCCATGTTGGAGGGGTGGGACTCTGGGATGGAGGGTCAGTTTCCCTTTAATTCAGCACCCTTTAGTAAGTTCACAGACTTTCCTCTATCCCCATCCTCCACCTCACATCAAACTTTTAATTTATTTATTTTTAGAGACACAGTCTTGCTGTGGCTCCCAGGCTGGAGTACAGTACACGGTCATAGCTCACTGCAGTCTTGAACTCCTGGTTCAAAAGATCCTCCCTCCTCAGCCTCCTGAGTAGCTGGGATCAGAGACATGAACCACCACACACAATTTTTGTCTAAGGATAGATGAAGAGTGAGACTGGGCAGCAATGCCTGTACCCCAAACTGCAGCTCTTCCCATTCAACCCTTATGCCTTCTTGGGTCCTAGAGTTTAGCTAAATCTTTCCATGTTCTGGAGTAATCTTTTCATGAATTTTAAATTTTTCTGCTCTGATTTTTGGTGTTTAGGAATGCTCACTTACCAGTTTCCCATCAGATTTGCCTACCACATCATCAATTATTTTTCAAAACATGATTATTTAGGAGAACAAAACCTCTGCTGAGCATTGCAGAGGACTTGTCTGTGCATCCGCTATGGCGCTTTCTTCACGAGTGTGTAATGTGAAAATGGGTGAGGCATGTGTGCAGGTCTGCGTAATGCAAGGAAGAATAATATGAGAACAAGGTCGGGCATGGTGGCTCACGCCTGTAATCCCAGCATTTTGGGAGGCTGAGGCGGGCAAATCACCTGAAGTTAGGAGTTTAAGACACCCCTGGCCAACATGGTGAAACCCTGTCTCTATTAAAAATACAAAAATTAGCTGGGCCTGGTGGTATGTGCCTGTAGTCCCAGCTACTCAGGAGGGTGAGGCATGAGAATCGCTTGAGCTCGGGAGGTGGAGGTTACAGTGAGCCAAGATTGCACTACTGCTCTCCAGCCTGGGCTACAGAGTGAGACTCTGTCCCACAAATAATAATAATAGGCTGGGCACGGTGGCTCATGCCTGTAATCCCAGCACTTTGGGAGGCTGAGGCGGGCAGATCACGAGGTCAGAAGATTGAGACCCTCCTGGCCAACATGGTGAAACCCCGTCTCTACTAAAATACAAAAAAATCAGCCAGGTGTGGTGGCGCAGGCCTGTCATCCCAGCTAGTTGGTAGGCTGAGGCAGGGGAATCGCTTGAACCCAGGAGGCAGAGGTTGCAGTGAGCCGAGATTGCATCACTCCACTCCAGCCTGGCGACAGAGTGAGATACGGTCTCAATCAATAAATAAAGTAATAATAATAGTAATACGAGACCAAAACAAGTTCTACCCCCCCAGACACCATCTACTTCCAGCGATGCGTTGTGGCTCACAGCCTCTCCAAGGTAATTCCTTGCTACGCAGACATAGACTTCCTCATCAGGTCTACTTTTTCTTCCATGTACTATACGTAAGAAAAATAAAGATCCACTTGGCAGCAACATTCGGTGTGAGCGAGGCTCATCTTTGTCTGTCTCTACTCTCTCTCCCCTTTTGTACCATTCAACAGTGGGTGTGGGGCGGCCTCAGCTTTGCAGTTCAAAGTTGCAGGTTCTCCTTTTGAGACAATCAGGTCTGAAGGGTGCTCAACAATGCGAGGTGGAAAATCTTCCTGATGAAGACGGGAGCCTGAACAGAGACATATTAATCCAAACAGGTAAAAGTGAGCAGGCTCCGCAATCATTGTCCTCAGGTGGATCCTGCATAGAGTCTCATGCCAAGAGGAGTGAGTAGAAATAGGTCCCCAAATGTATGAAGCCACACACCACACATACCCCACACAAAGGCTTAATATAAGCAACGTGGGTCAATTAGCCAGGAGTTTTCAGGGCAATTACTCGTCGACCTTTCCAGACGCTTGTCAGTATCTTAGAGCCTTTTGCAGAGGAGGAATTCCAAGGTTGGTCTTCTCCGGCCTCAGGATTTCCGAGGAGGCTCAGACACTTTGAAGAACCATCCAAAGCGAACAACAAAGAGCCGAAGCAGAAGTGCAGTAGTGCCGTTTCCTGCCGCCACAGTCTACCTGAGCCTCCCGGTGTGCGCCCCACAATGTGCGCCCGAGCGCTGCTTCGAGGGCAGGCGCGTTGACAGCAAAGTTGGGGTGTGAGAGCGGATCGGGGAGGGCCAAAAAGTGCTTCTCTGTCTCCAGGCGAGCCCAGTCAGCAGCGGGCCACCCACGCGGCGGCGAGAGCAGCCAAAGTAGCAGCAGCAGCTCCGGAGGACGGACTTGGGGTGCCGGGAGTGTGGCTGGGTGACTCCGCGCGCAGGGGGCGAGCGAGGGGGCGGTGCGGCGACGGCGGCTGCCTGGGCGGGCCTTGTTCCCATCACTTGGGGGATGCGGAGGGTACTGGGGACAGCAGCAGGACCGCGGACACTCGCACGCCTTCCGGACGCCCCCAGCCCCGTGAGGCGCCCAACATCGCCCCCGGCCCCTCGCTCTCTGGCGCGCGCGCAGGCACCCCCAAACTACGCTGAAGCCCACACTTCCTGGGGGTAGCTGCTTGCACCCCGGGCTCGTGGAACAAGGGGCTGTAAGGGAAGCTTTATCATTTACTCCTTACATAAAAGGAAAAGGAAAAGGAAAAGGAAAAGGCGCAGCAGCTTCCCAGTAGGACGCTGTCACCCCCCTGTGCTGCGCGCGGTGCTGGAGGCGCTGCAGGCAGGGGAGCAGCGCCGGGGCACGTCGGTGGCAGCCATCAAGCTCTACATCCTGAAAAAGTACCCAACGATGGATGTCCTTCGCTTCAAGTACCTGCTGAAGCAGGCGCTGGCCACTGGCATGAGCCGTGGCCTCCTTGCCAGGCCCTTGAACTCCAAAGCCAGGGGGGCCACTGGCAGCTTCAAATTAGTTACCAAGCACAAGAGGAAAATCAAGCCTAGGAAGATGGCCCCTCCGAAGGCCCCTAGGAGAGCGGGTGAGACCAAGGAGAAGGTCCCTAAGAAACCAGATGAGGCCAAGGAGGATCCTCCCAAGGCAGACAAGGTGAAAAAGGCAGCCAAGAGGCCAGCAGAGGTGCAGAAGTTTCCTCTCAAGCCAGGTGCAGCCACAGAAAAAGCTCGCAAGCAAGGCAGCAAGGCCAAGGACACCAAGGCACAGCCAGACGAGGCTCAGAAGCTGACCCCCAAGCCAGACAAGGCCATGCGGGCCCCTTCTAGTGCCAGCGGGTTCAGCAGGAAGACAGAGGCCAAAGGCAGCAGGAGGATCCAAGGAGATGCTGAGGCCTGCAGGAAAACCAAAGCCGGGAGTAAGAGTTCAAGACCCACGGTCAGCAAGGTCAAGAATGGTGCTGCTTCCCCAACCAAAAAGAAGTTGGTAGCCAAGGCCAAGGCCCAGGCCCCGGCCCCTAGAGGGGCAGCTGCCCCCATGGCTGGGCAGGGGCGGAATGCCAAGGGTGCTTCTGCTAAGGCCAGTGGGTCCAAGGTGGTGCCTGCACACCTGTCCAGGAAGACAGAGGCCCCTAAGGGCTCGAGAAAGGCTGGGCTGCCCATCAACATCAAGTCCTCATCATCCAGAGTGTCCAGCCAGAGGACTGAAGCTTAGGGCCGGAGGCAGGGGGTGGAGAGACACCTAGCCTCTGTTAGTTTTTATTCTTTAACAAACCACTGCTCTATTTATTTCATTGTAAGCTATTTATCAATAAAGACTCCAGCCTGGGCAACAAAGTGACACTCCTTTCTGAAACAAAGCTGACAGTTCAGAAAAATACATTCCATCCATCACATGTAGGCAGATTCCCCCTGGCACCAAGTGCATTCTTGTGGGAGTTCACATACTCCAGTGTGAGAAGCGCTGTGGTGTGTGCTTGATGCATGTCTGTGGAATGGGATTTGTAAAGGAGTTGAAGGAAATGCACAGTTATTCAAGTTTCTGAAAAGCAGGGGAGTCTTTTAACAGAAAATGAATAAAGGAAAAAGGAAGAGAATTAGAAGAGACAAGTTGTGGAAGAGTTAAATTTATAGGTGTTGAGAAATAGAGCTGTAGTGAAGCTTGGGGCCAAATCATGTGAGGCTTTCAATATTTTCCCTTCCTCCTTCCCTCCATCCCTCCCTCCCTCCCTC